CCAAATGGAGCTAACGGAACCAACAGAACTCCATTCCGGAGTCGTCTTCATATAGTTCCGACTACGATCAAAATTATAAGACTTGAGCTTCCGTTTAGGGACTAAGTGCTCCAAAATACTCTGAAACAAAAAGTAAAACCTCCTGGAAAGTCACATAAGTAGAAAAAGATACGGGAAAGCAGTTAATAGGGAATTGGGGCTAATACACTCAAAATGACTAGCCGGGTCGTTACAGAGAAGAGATAGAGGATTCATGCAGAAATTGTTCTTACTTTGGAAACAGAGGAAGAAGGAGGAGTTTACCAGCCAAAAACAAAGGGAACTAGGGCTGCTTATGAAGCATGCTCTCTATAATTAAGTACCTTTTATGTGAAGGACAACCCTTCAACATTGTGACTGCGACAGATGATGAGATCTTAAATGTGCTAAAGAATGATAAGTAGTATTAACTTCAACAACCTTGACAAGAAAACGCTGCAAATTGAGAAGTTGTTGAATACATTATACTCTTCTCTCTCTTTGTCATAATTACCTATTTCAATAAAAGAATAATGCATGGTACAACATCATACAAATTAAAAGTAAATTTCATACAAATTTTGATATATCTACAACAACATACATAATAAAAATAAATTTCATACAACTAATTATACAATATACAACTTATTTACATCTTTTTTACAACTTTCATACATCCTTCTTATCCAGTTAAATACAACTACAACATCATACAACTTAAATACAATTTTCATACAAATTTTATACAATATCTTTTGTATATTTTGTATTTGATTTGTATATATTTTGTATGTGGTGTGTGCTTCTTCCTCCTTAAAATTTCAATCAAAACTTACTCTCTTAATACAATTTTGATACATATCAACAACTTTATGTAAAAAAGATAGTATTGATAACTTAAATATAAATTTTATACAACGATTCATACATTATACAATTATTTTTCAACTTTCATACAACATTCAAATAAAAAAATATATATAATTACAACATAATACAATTTACATACAATTATAATACAACTTTACTACAATTTCGTAGGTATATTTTATGTCATGTGTTCGTCTTCTTCTTCTTCTTCTTCTTCTTCTTCTTCTTCTTCGAGTTTCAATCTGAAATTCAACCAAAATTAAATCTAATCTTCACCAAACACCCTCAAATTTGAGATATAAACTCCAAACAATATTTCTAATTGTTTTCTATAACACCCAATCCAAATAAATAATGATTTTTGAAAACCCAAATTCGATTTCAAAGCTTCAAAGCTTTTTAATGGCTGTCAATGGTGGAGAGTCAAATACCTTCAAAATTTATTGATTGACAATTTCAATTTGAATACCAATTATGCAACATGAAAGAAAATTGTTAAGTTAAAACTCTATAGTATAAAACGATTGAAATCCATTGATGAATTCCATTAAAAATATATACAATTGGTAATTGATAGGAAGAAAAAGTAGAAGACATCATAGGAAGAAAAATTGGGGAAAGAACAGAGAATGAGAGATAGAGAGACAAAGAGAGACGAAGAGAGAGAGAGAAAGAGAGAGAGAGAGAGAGAGAGAGAGAGAGAGAGAGAGAGAGAGAGAGAGAGAGAGAGAGAGAGAGAGCACATGAGAGAGAGAGATAGAGAGAGAACATGGATGGAAAATAATTGATTCCTTATTCAATTCCTAATTTAAAGGGATACTCATTTAAAATTAATTTGTATATAATTGGTAAATTATATATAGCCATGTACTTAAGTTAAATCTTGATTAGGGAGGGTAATAAAGTTTCATATGTAGTAAAGGAAGGTAAAAATCCTTTCAAAAATTATAAGTACAGACTTGAAATAATACGTTAAAAGATAAAACTATGAAAAAGTTTAACAAATATTTATAAACTATACTACAATAAATATATTTATGTATAAAATATATTTTAAACTAACGTCGAGTTGGTTTGGTTTCAGTTTGACTTTTTTTAGTTAAAACCAAACCAAACCAATTATGATCAGGTTTTTTCTCCCAACACCAAATCAAATCAAACGGAACCATAGTTTGATTTTTTTTTTCTCGGTTTGACTTAGAATTACCGATTTGATGCGGTTTATCGATTTACTTTGTACACCTCTATTGCTAATTGTATTAAGAAGAATACGATGAGAACAAAGATACGGCCTATGAATAAAATTCCAAAAAGGTCAGTGTTTACATTTCTGTCTAATCAATTTTTTTGGTTCCCTTCAGCTTACTTGTGATATACGTTGGAGTTGGCAAGATGAGTTACTTTAGCTTTTTAATAAGACAATTTTTCCTATTTTTTAAGACTTAACTGGAAAAGAAAAATAATTGGTCTTGCAGGAGGGGCAACGAGGTTGATGAAAGTCTAGATGAGCAAGATGAGGAGAAGATCATTTGACGCCATCGGCTTGTATTCCTGAAATTTTATGTTCTAGGAGAGAGAACGGTTAATAGGTTCTTATTTAAAGTTTTTTTTTTTTTTGAGTATTTAACTATGTATTTATGCGATGAACTTGTAAGCATATGCTTGGAATTATAGTTGGAAGAACGACCAATTAAAATATATGTGCTTTGGTGATTACTAATTTAAATTCTGATTGATTATTTTAAGCTAATCTTAATTTTACTGCTCATATGCTAAATGAAGTGAGTTAATTATTGATAATGAGTAAGGGATATTTATTTTCCTTAGTGAGAACTAAAAGAACAACAACTAATAATGGGGACTTGAGGCTTAAGTTGATTGATTTTTGTTATAATGTGTAAATCCACATTTATCTAAGTGCAAAAGAGTTGGCTTGACAATAAGCTTCAAACTGCGTAGCAGGAATTGTTGCATATGAATCTATTATCAAGTTCTAGTTTCTGTTTGTTTTTTTGACAATTGAGAAAGTTACATATGATGACTAGTCACTACGAAAATTGACCGACTCACGTTATCAAACAATATCCAAGTTATTGTAGCTAAAAGCAATATCATGGTACTTTTTATTCTTTTTTAAAATATGTATGTGCATATATCATGTATGTAACACAAGGTGGAAGTAAAATGAGTTAGATACTAAATTTTAATGCTCACTAAATGTTTTAGTCTGATATTTTAAAACTATCTAGAACTGGATTCAATTTTATATCATTTTGTTATTGAATACTTACCTACTGAATTCCATTTAACATGACTGTAATTTTATGACACGCATATGTTTTACTTCACATGTTTGGAACACACAGTGTCAAATGTTTTGATAGAAATTTAGTGGAGCGATGGTTTGATTACAAGTGGTGACGCAGCAGGCAATACAGATGGACGGACTAATGAGAAAACTAATTTTATATTGAGGGGTCCCAAAGTTTCTCATTAAATTTATAAAGCTCATATTTGCACAAGTTCCCAAAGCGTGACAAAATTTATATACCGGTACAAAACTAGAGTGAATTACACAAATACCCCTCTAAGCGGATGACCTTGAATTTTTATCCATGTTTGGTTATAATTTCAAGTTGAATGAGTGTTGTCCCATGCCCCACGAGCAACAACACTTTTTAACTCTTTTGCTCATGAAGTAAGTAGGTCAAAAGGAGAGTCAAAACTAGGATTTAAAATTATTGGATTCAGGATTCTAATCTTTTTATGTTAGTAAGAATTCGTAATTATTTAAAGGGGCTTCTAAGACAAGTATAAAGTGAGATTTTTACATAGTAGGACTCTTATTAGAACATATTTATACAAATAATATTATTTTTGCTTTATTCCAAAAAACACACATTCAATTTACATTTATAGCATTTCAAAAGATTCCTTACCTTATTTAATGGCCATCGGTTTCTTAAACATAAATATTTAAACACTAACCAACAATTTAAGGGATTAGTTTTAAGCCATATTAATCTATCCACAATTCTCTCTCATCATTAATTTGAACTTTCTAAACTTACCGTTTGTAGTTTGTCTGTGAATTTTTTCTTCAAATAAATAGTTGCTCTTAAAATCACATTTTCGTTATTCTCTCAAACAAAAACACATAATACATCTATATCTTTTTATTTATATAGTATATTTTTGATGTATAATTATTTAAAAATATATAATTCTGTACATATTCGGTGTATATATATTATATATTTAATGTATAATTTATGTATATCTAACAAATCTGAATATATTTTATGTATATTTGACATATAAAATATATATTTGTATATATGAGGTATATGTTATTTATTATTCAATATACATTAATTGTATAAGTTCTAACAAATTTAATACTTATATGCTTATGTATACCATTGTTATTCCTTATGTATACATATACGGTAAATAAATTTTAAAATATAATATACAAATAATATTAAAATAACCTTTTTATTAAATTAATTTCTTTTTGTGACAATATTTTCGCTAAAAAAAAGGATATACTATGCCTACGGGGAGGAAAGAGTTATTTTTGGATGGAAATTATCTTACAAATACGTTTCTGAGTCATATTTGCTTATTTTTAGGACTATTTCTCATTCTTAGAAAACTGAATCCCTTTGGGCACTTTTTTAGGAATGAAATACTTTGAATATTTTTCGTAAACGTGATTATTGATCCATGTTTATAGCTTTTTGATAAGATATGTATTTATTTAACTGCCATGTTAGTAAAATACCTATTGATGCTAGGTTTTTGAAATTTTTTCTTAAATTTTGTCTATATGTGTTTTTTCCCATATAAAGTTTGCACTAAAGCTACTAAGTTCGTCCGAATTCATTACCGAAGCTCTAGCTCCGCCTCTGGTCAAAAGTTAAAGATCACAACAAAAAGTATCATCTTTCTACAATTTGTTGACAAAACTATACTATTTGTGCAAATTATCCATAGAATTCCCTTTTAAATTTAGGACGAAGGCCCAAACCCAAATTCCATGTAATGGGCTGTGTGGAAAACAAACAAAAGAAGCCCAATCCTAACCGCTTTTTTTTTTTCCGCTTAGATTCTTGCCAAAACCCTCCTGTGTCGCTAACTTGTTCCTCCTCATCACTTTCTGTTTTCTGCAGCGAACTCCCCCAGTTTCTCTTTTTCCGGCGCTATCAAACTGTATGTTTCCTATTATTTTCACGTGTATTTTTTCCTTTATGCTGTCTAATTAGACCAAAATCCCAGCTCCTTTTTTTGGCAATGATTTTAGTTGTTAAATACCGGTTTAATGGCGTTTTTATTAGTTAATGCGTAATTGCTTACCTGAATCCTGATAATATCCTAATATTGCGGTGGTATACTAATTTTGCGTTTAAGAAGTAAGAACATATTTTCTGAAACTCATAACTGACTAATTAAAAAAACCTATATTTGGTTATGCAGTGGACTGTTAACCCGCCGCCGCCACCTTATAAATTGTCATTACCATGGCGGAGGTAGAAGAAAACCCTAATGCAGTAGTTGCAGAAGAAGAGTCAATTAAGAAGAAGAGAAAGAGAAATAGAGACAAGAAGAATAAAATGGTCACAGAAAAAGAGACGAAGAAGGCAGAAGTAAGTGAGGACAGAGAAGAAGAAGAGAATGATGTAGAAGAGCAGCATAATGAACTGAAGGAGGAGATTAAGAAAGAGATGAAGAGTGGGTCCGGTATTATGACTACGGAGTTGTTTTCTTCTCTTGAAATTTCTGAGCCCACTATGAAGTCCATCAACGACATGGGCTTTCAGCACATGACTCAGGTAAATTATAAGCTTTTGTAGTATTTTCATAAGCAGATATTAGCAAAGTGAAATACTTGGCACTATGGTGCGATTTTAATTTGGAAAATGGAGAATGTACTAGTAATAAATTGAAGGATGTTTTGGCAATATTGATTTAGTCTACTGAATGACCACTATCAACAAGTTTCTCGTTCTATTGCCGTTCAGCTGCAATCTTGTCTTCAGTTGCTGAAGTGCAAAATTTTTAAAACTCAGAACTTGAATAGATAAATCTTTAATAATTGTCCATGAGGATCCTAGCAGCTTGATTTATGTCTCTATTTTAGCAAACTGAATAGCTAACACTCTGTTCTTGAAAAAACATCTGGATCTTAATTGCTTCTCTTTGCTGTTGAAGATCCAAGCCAGGGCAATTGCTCCTCTTCTGGAAGGCAAAGATGTCCTTGGAGCTGCAAGAACTGGTTCTGGTAAAACACTTGCATTTCTGATACCAGCCGTGGAGTTGTTGTATAATGTCCGTTTTACACCTCGTAATGGAACTGGGGTTATTGTCATTTGCCCAACAAGAGAACTGGCTATACAGGTAAAATACCTACTCTTCCCTGCCTTTCCTTTTTCTTTGTTTTTTCTTTTTGGTCTTTTGGCTTTTGCCTTTTTAAAATTATTCTTGTTTTATGTGGTGCGTGTGTGTGTGTGTGTGTGGGGGG